GCGGTTCGGCGGCCCGGAGCGTGGTGACGTGAGGAGAGCAGCACGCTCAGCTGGCCCCGGCACGTCAGCTTGGACGTGGAGCTCAGCCCCGTGCACCCTGCCTTCGGCCTTTTCCTGGGGATTGGAGCGTCTGCCGGGGCGGCGCGTGAGCGTTGTGCGGGGCAGCAAACCGCTGCTGAACTCTTGAGCACCGCGCGCTTCGGAGAGCGTGCCAGCAGCCTGGCAGGACACGGCTCAGCCCTGCTCGGTTCATCATCTGTTTGCAGCGGGCGGTGGATATCCTGCGCTCCTAATGCCAGGAGCGGTGGTGACAAAAAATGGAAAAAATAGTCAAGCTTGTCACGTGTACGCTATTCTCCCTCCTGCTTTGTTTCCCCTCCCTCAAGGCGTTTTCTCTTTCAGGTGTTCACCGACCCCAGCAACCTCCAGCGGCACATCCGTTCCCAGCACGTTGGCGCGCGGGCCCATGCCTGCCCGGACTGCGGCAAAACCTTTGCCACCTCGTCTGGCCTCAAACAACACAAGCACATTCACAGTACTGTCAAACCTTTCATATGTAAGTTGTCACGGCCATCACAGAGCTCTGGCTTTTGCTATAATTGCACGTATCCTGCGGGGGCCCCCCAGTACTAGCTGTCCCTCTGCGAGCAGCCGCTGTAATTTTATAGGTCAGAGCACAAGATGAAATTCCGCAGCGATTTTTTTTTTTTTTTTTTTTTTTTTTTTCCTCCCTTTTTTTTTTTTTTTTTTTTTTTGCATGCTCCCTGTTTTTTCAGTAAACATTCATGGCAGTTTTTGACTTTCTTGACAAGTTAAAAGCTGAGGCTCTCAGCAGTCCTAGCGATGCCATTTTCTCATATCTTTTCTTTCTCTCTTCTTTTTTTCCTTAATAATTTTCGAACGTTCATGTTGGCGACGTAAATAAATAGCTGACACGGCCTGATCGAAATGTTTTTCAGGGGTGCCTCAAATCCCGTAGCCGTTGCAAAGAATTTGGCATAGTCACAGAGATGAGAAGAAGGTCTTTTTTAAAAAGAGTTTCTCCTTCTTTATATACTGCATGTTTCATCTAGATAGTGCTTGGACGCCAAATGAATAGCAGATTAACTGTGTCCTTAGTGCTCTCTTTAGTGGAATATTTCCAAAAGGGCATTTTCCCTTGAGAGCCATTCATCTCATCTCTTGTCATTCGCAGGGTTGTATATTTTTTTAATTGACACGGCACCTATTGGATTTTGATAACTCTGCAGAAAAGCGGATTGTGTCACAACAAAGCTATAGAAACTTTAGGGACTACTTCCTGACACTCTTCAGAAAGCGTAGTTCAGGCACAGAAGGGGATCTGTGTTTGATTCCAGGCTTTGATGTTACGGTAGGGAAGCCACTGAACCCACTGCTGCCTTTTTTTCCCTGTTGGTATAATGGGAACAGTATGCAGGAGTATCCTGGGAGACTCGTTTCATTAATGCGTTCTGAGATAATCAGATGGGTGTCGGTGGAGGAAGAAGAAATACTCTTATTGCTCATTTTGATGCAATCTTTCATTTGATGACGGGCACATGAAAGAGATAATTCGAATCTCATAGCATTGCCGCAGCGAGATGAATGATTTCTTCTCATAATCTCCTCACTCTCACCTCATAAGAATTAGGGAGTTGTCAGTCTAAATCAGCGTGTAAAACAATTTCAGACCGATCCTGCCTAGTTCGGATGTGCCGGGTGGAGTCGCGAGCGTGAATATGGAATGCATTAGCGGCTTAGGGGAGCCATGAGGCAGGATTCGCCGGGCAGCTTGCCTGTGCAGGGGAAGGAAGGGGTCCGGGGAGCGTTTGCTTGTTTGTTCGTTATGGTGCTATACCTGGCGTTAACAAACCCCACCACACTGTCACTTTGTGACTGCAGAACGCAGAGCAGCAAGAGAGGGCGTTAGATGCAGAGTTACTAGATCGTTGTATGACTGGAGGCTTAAACAAAAAGTTTCCGGTTTTCCTGGTTTAGAAGGATGAGGTGAGCTCTCATACCTATAGCGCTTTTCTTTAGGGAATTTTGTGCAGCATCATCTATACCCAGCAACTCTTTCTGGGGTGGAAAATGTAAAAAAAGAACCCGATTCCCTTGGAAGACTGTGCTTTTGTTTTCCTTAGTCTTCTCGTAAAGTTTTGCCACATGGGAACAGTATAACTCCTTTTTTGTAAAACTGCGAGTGCATACAACAAAAATAACGCCAACGCCACAAACACAGTCTTGAGGCAGTGAAAGCTGACAGCAAGTGCACTCGCTTGCGATAGGATCTGCGTAAGCAGATTAGCCGTATTATAAACTTGTGTGTATCTTCTAAACCAGAGCAAAGCAACCCTTGGCACACGGCGAGGGAGGAGGTTAAAATTAGAGAGGGGTAATTTTGTTCTGGAAAGAAAAATATACAAACATCTTTTAAAGAAGTCCACCCAAACGTGACATTTCTCCAAGTATTAGTAGTAGTTTGAGAGGGAGCTCACGGTCTCCTTACAGGTGGGAGTATTTGCACCTACCTGTTTTGGACACACGCAGTCGTTCCCACACCCCTGAAGGTGCTGGCTTTGCGTAGCCGGGCAGGACAAGAGAAGCCCCGACCCGTTCGAGGAGCGAGGGTCAAGCAGTTGAAGCAGCATCCAGCCCGAGACAGGCGGCAGCGAGCCGGCTGTGTGCACTTCAGCCTGACAGCCTGCGAGGGCGGCCGGCACGTCGCATCCCCCGAGGCTGTCTAGCGGCAGGCGCATCTCTTGCGACAGTGAAGCGCGGAACAGTCCAGAAAGGCAGAGCTGGTCCGTGGGGCTCGTGCGTTATGTGCACACTGACATACCCTCCTGCTTAAATCTCTATAGAAACAGAGACTGTTGTATCTAACAGAGCGTTAGCTTTACGGAAAAGAAATTGAGAAGTGTTTCCTTGAGGTATTTTTTAAGAAAACATTTTAAAATTAAGTAAAAAACCTAAAAAAAACCCCTTCTTTGAAAGTTAAGGTAGCTAAAATAATACATGCAACAGCCACAGAAGTCTGTATATACAATAACAGTAGTTCAGAACTGACACGAGTTTTTAAGGTGTGATTGCCAAAAACTAGGGATAGCTTTAGCGTACGAATCTGGAAAAGCTGCTACTCAAATACTGAAACTCTTCTGATGACTTTCTAGTTCCCCTTCTGTTTGCGTGTCCTTTGCAGCTCCGCGCTGTATGGAAGCCCAAAGCAGAAACGATGAAATACCCTGAGGGGAGACGGTTCTCCCTAAATTTCTAGCGCAGTCAGAAACCAGACAGAGCAGACCCTTCGGTGACAATCCACTGAACTTCGGGATGCTCATTTGAACTGAAATGTCAAATTTGTTACTTTTTAGTAACCTTTGCTTTGAATTTCAATAGAAGGGACTTCCCCTTATGTTTTCGGAGCTGCCAGTGAAATACTCTCCTGACAGTCATTTGATATTCAAACACTGATGTAAATCCTAAAGAGTCAGAAAAAAATATAGGGAAAGTCACGCTCACGTGTACCTGTCGGTAAAAGTTGGGAGGGAGAGAGGGAGGGAGGGAGGACCACTTTGTCACTGAGTTGCAGGCCGGGTTGTCAGAAGAATTTGGCTTCGGGTCCTTGCCTGCCCAACTCCGAACAATATGCTTTCCCTCTCTTTGTCTCAGTTTCCATGTTTACAAAATGGTGATAACAGCAGTTCTCCTGTGAAAGAAGTGTGTTAATTCACTAAGAAGTAGAATTTATTCCTGTGTTGAAAGAGGCATCCGATAATAAAAAGTTAGAGTGTTTTGAGGCATAGAAAAGTTTGGGTGGGATTTTTTTTCTTACTTTGCCCTGTTCCTTCCACACCACCAGAGTCTGTAGGTGAAAGGGGTCATAAAAATTCACGTTTTGAAAGCTCGGTATTTACAGGTCGTTAAAGAAAACGCTGATGTAGCGTTCACTGAGCATTGCCTGGGTGTCTTACTAATTTAACGAATACAAGATTTCACCCCGCTTCTAGCTGACCTGAGGCCTGGCTGGCAAAGTATTTATAGAACATCCCTATGGAGTGGTTACTTACTATTAATGGCATGAAAGAAAGGGTAGGTTTGATTAAATGAAGCAAAGTTCTTCTCCCTTCGGCCTTCAGTGCTTCCTGCCGTGCCAGGGCTACAGGCAGAGCAGGCTAGCTATCATAAATAGCTATTATCATTAAAATGCATCCTTGTCTTTATAGAAAATTCTGAAAAAATGGTTGAGCGGGAGCAGCACACGCCCTCAGATTTCTGCAGAGCGTGGCTGGTTGAGCGATTCCCTGGGAGGGAGGTTTGTTGAAAGGGAGATGTGGCGTTATTTCTGGGATGGCAGCCTCCGTGCGCTGGCCCGTGCCAGCCGGGCGATGGCTGGGGTTCAGACGCTGGCAGCGTTGCTTTCTGCCAGCTGCTCCGGGGGTCTTCCAGCCTGCTCCCCCTCGCGCCTCTTCCAGCGTCCTCGGCCAGGACTCCCCGGGCTGCCTCTTCCTTTCCCAAGTGTGGCCGAGATGACGGCCCGGTGGGGCTGAGTCCCGTGCAAACATTTAAAGAGGGAGGTAGCTTTTCCCACACGCTTGCGAGCCCGAGAGACCAGACAGACTCCGTGGCTCGATTTTACACAGGGAGAGCTGAAGCACAAAGAAACTACGCAGCGTGCTGAAGTTACGGAGGGGAGCCTTAGCGGGGGAGATGCGGAGCCGGGCGTCTAGAGGCCCGGTGCAGCATGTAGCTATGGCCTGCTTTTCACCTCTTTCCTTCTGTCTTTAGGGAAGGGGGAGTTCAGGGGCAGGGTGGAAGGGCTGGGGGACGCTGAGGAAGCTCCTCGTGGATTCCCTGCCAGTTCCTGGTAATTTCATATTGCTTTTGTTGTTGGTTTCTGTTGATGCTTTAGGTGAGGTCTGTCACAAATCCTACACGCAGTTCTCCAACCTCTGCCGTCACAAGCGGATGCACGCGGACTGTCGCACCCAGATCAAATGCAAGGACTGCGGCCAGATGTTCAGCACTACCTCCTCCCTCAACAAACACCGGCGCTTCTGCGAGGGCAAGAACCATTACAACCCGGGGGGGATTTTTGCCCCCGGCCTGCCCCTAACGCCCACTTCCATGATGGACAAATCCAAGCCCTCTCCCAACCTCAATCATGCCAGCCTGGGATTTAACGATTATTTTCCATCCCGCCCGCACCCGGGGGGTCTTCCATTCTCACCTGCCCCCCCAGCGTTTCCTGCCCTCACTCCGGGATTCCCAGGGATTTTCCCACCGTCTCTGTACCCCCGGCCCCCCTTGTTACCACCCACACAACTGCTCAAAAGTCCCCTCAACCACACGCAAGATGCAAAGCTTCCAAGCCCCCTTGGGAACCCAGCACTTCCTCTGATCTCTGCAGTGAGCAACAGCAACCAGGCCACTTCAGGAGAGGAGAAATGTGAAAGCAGCCTGGAAAACTCCTACCTGGAGAAGCTAAAAGCCAGGAACAGTGACATGTCCGACGGCAGTGACTTTGAGGATGTCAATACAACCACAGGCACAGATCTGGACACCACTACGGGCACTGGTTCTGACCTGGACAGTGACGCAGAGAGCGACAGGGACAAAATAAAAGATAAGAGCAAACCAATTGAGAGCAAGCCAGATTTTGTCAGCAGCTCTGTGTCTGCAAGTTCCACCAACAATACGAGTGAGATCCCTCTCTTCTATTCTCAGCATTCCTTCTTTCCTCCCCCCGAGGAGCACCTGCTACCGACCACAGGAGCAGCCAATGACTCTATTAAAGCTATCGCCTCCATCGCAGAGAAATATTTTGGGCCTGGCTTTATGGGGATGCAGGAGAAAAAGATGGGTTCGCTCCCGTATCATTCCATGTTCCCTTTCCAGTTCCTCCCCAATTTCCCCCATTCACTCTATCCCTTCACGGAGCGGACCCTCAATCACAACTTGCTGGTCAAGGCAGAACCAAAGTCACCCAGGGACCTCCACAAAGTAGGCAGCACCAGCTCAGAGTCGCCCTTCGATCTCACCACAAAGCCAAAAGAGATTAAGCCAATCTTGCCGCCACCTAAGGTCCTGCCGGCCCCGTCCTCAGGGGAGGAACAGCCCCTGGATCTGAGCATTGGCAACCGCATCCGAGCCAGTCAGAACGGAGGAAGAGAGCCACGGAAAAACCACATTTATGGGGAAAGGAAGCTAATGGCAAGTGAAGTCTTACCCAAGATTTCCCAGTCTCAACTGCCTCAGCAGCCATCCCTGCATTACGCTAAGCCATCACCCTTTTTCATGGACCCCATATACAGGTATTAACATACCCTGCCTTAAGCCTTTCCTCTAACGAGCTCATTTTCTAGCTGACGTCGCAACCTGAGGCAGATCGGGATGTAGGTTGTTTAGAAAGAGCAGTGAAAGTCTGCTGCAGTTGATTGTACTTCTCTCTCCTTTGTCACAGCACGTTGAATTTTCTGAATCGAAAGGGCTGAACAATTGAAAGGAGTGCTCGTAATCAATGTGTGTAAAGAACACGTCCTTATTTTGATAAAGAAGAAAATTGACCTATTTAAGGACTCTCCCACGAGCCAACGCTAAGATGGCACTTCTGCTGGGGAAATTCCAGAGGTTTGATTCGATAAGAATGCAGAGTTCAGATGCCTCGGAGCCTGGGCTCTCATGGCTTGGGAATGAGTCAGGAGCCCTGGGAGCCTGGAAATGCAGCTCTCCCACTGACTTACTCGATGGCCTTTTGTGAGCCACTTCACCTTTCTTCCTCCCCACCCCCCTTTTTCTTTCTCATTCCTTTTCTTAGAGTTTCTCGGTTCATAGGAACTGCTGTGGCGGACCCAGCTGTTCGAAACGTTTTTAAGTCTGGAGTAGCGAGTGCTGTGTAAATACGCGATAGCGTGGTGGTATCCGGATCTATCGCAGATACATTTCTTGCAGACTTACTTTTCTTAGAAGATAGCAAGGGGTTTCTAGTTTCCCTGGAAATGGACGGGTGTTGAGGAAAGCCCGACCTGCTGTGTCATGCCTAGAATAAGCTGAACATGGAAGGCACGTGTAAAGCAGACGGGATGAAGTCTGCCAGTTAAGCTTCCAGAAGGAGTGAATTCAGAAGAAGAGGTATGGGGAAGACTTGAGTCTTTTGTCATTTTAGAGCTTTTTATAAAACCTGTTTCTAAAGGGACAGTAGTTGAAGCTTTAAGGTGAGGGTACCAGGAGGTCTGCGTATTGCCCGCCTGGGCGCTGGCGCTGCCTTTGTTATCTTCCTGCTACGGATGAGATGTATTTGTCACGTAGCAAATACCGTTTGCTTGTTATTAGCCAAGTCTGGTGAAAAGAGTCATCCCGAACGAGTTTGATTTGGACATGAACGTGGCAATTAATTCTCCCTTAGGACAGGATGCTTCATAACATCCATTTCGGTACGTGGGTTTGGCCCAGAGGGCTGCTGGATTCGGTGTCCAGTTGAACAGGCGGTTCCTGGGAGCGCCCGCTTTGCCCTTGCGTTACTCGAGCTAAATGTGAACGGCGTGCTGCGGGGTTGCGTAGCGAGCCTAGCTGTAGTCCAGCCTGCTGGAAGGTTAATGGATGTGCTGCAGAAGCTGGTGTTTTCTTAGCGCTGGAAAGACTCAGAGTCACCGCAGAGCGATTATGTCAGCACTGGGATGGTTCGCTTGAGCGTTCAAAGGACTGCGAACAACGACGGGTGGCGTGGCCTTCGCTGCCGGCCGGAGGAGCGGGCCAGGAGAACAGCACCTATGTCACTGCCTTGCCGCTATTGTACGGTTGATAACTGTGGGAAAAAATGATGTCAATGTCTGGCCAGGCCAAAGAACTGTCAGCTGAGATGAGGATTAGTGAGCCCTCGTTGCTTGCTATTAAGAAAGCGCCTCTCGCTTTGCCAGCACTCTCGGGGTCGGTGCCGTGTTGCTTGCTTACACGCTTAGCATCTGCAGTGGAAACGGCTACATCACGACCCGGGACGTGTAATGTGTTCTGTCTGGGGCCCGCCGTGGTCATCTCCTCCTGGAAAAATAAGTAATGATGGAAATAGTCCGGCATTTATTTTTGTAAAAAGTACTTCTGGAAAAAAATAAATAAATGGGATAGAAAGGCAAAAGCTTCGAGTTAGCTTAGGATCCTGCCACCTCTGGGCATTCTCAGTAGGAATGTTAAAATAACATGGGTTGAAAAAGCCGTTGCCGATTAAAATAGCAGCCTCGGGAAAACCGTAAAGGTCCAGAAGACAGATGGAAGTGAAGGATGGGGGCATCATTTGCTGCATTCCATGGGATGCATATAGTTTTAGTAATATATTAAAATAGAAAGTCAGCGGTGGAGTTGTTTGCGAATCAGACTGCTAATGTAATGAGCTAAACAGCAGAGCTTCCAAGTCCCAGCCTAAAAAATAGGGAAATATTTTGTTTCTAAACTTCTCTTTATCAGACTCTCTCACATCATTTGGCTCCTTCATTTCTCTCCCAAAGGCCACTTAAATCCTTGACATTTTCTCCTGGTGATATAATTTAATGCAGCCAGACAGCCTGAAATCAGTGCAGTTTTTAGCTCAGCCTTCTTAAGGTAACATTCTCAGGCACTGGGCTGAAAAGATCAGCTTAATCCTCTGGTCGCTGCGGAGTTCAGCTCTGACGAGGAAGTTTGTACGTTTGTTGCGTTCTCATTACCCGACCCCGGGAGATGGTGAAGCCGTGTGAAGCGCTGCCGCTCCGCGAGCTTTGACATTTCTGGTGCAGGTGGGGCTGTCTCTGGAGACGCCCGCTGCCGAGGCCCGGCGGGCATCCCCCCCGGCTGATTTCGGCGCGGCACGGAGAGCAAGGCTTCCCAAGTCGGGATGCGGCTCGCTGCGGTTTGCCATTTTACCTGGTGTCGGGGAGAAACTTTTTACGTATTGTTTTACAGGTTGTTGTTTGTCTGAAAACTCATGCCCGTGAAAACACGCACCTTCCAAAGCACAGTAATTCTGACTGCATTTCAAATCCAGCTCTTCTCTTTTCTTCTACCTAAGAAAAATTAAATGCAGATTAAATACAGTTCGCTAAATAGCACTCTGCATGACTCTTCTTTTAAACTCTTTGGTAATTTGATCCACGCACCAATCAGCTGAAATGCAGCAAAATAATTTGCTCTCACTTATGCTGGACTAATGTAGTTAAAATTACTCTTTCTATTGGATTTCTGCTGCTTTAGCTGAGATGGACTCTGTTCCAGTAATTTAAAGATGCAGCTGCCTTTATTGGAGTTACTTTCATAATGCTTTTATCCCATAGAGGACGTTTCAGTTTCTCTTTTTGGTGATTCCACACCATAGTTTCCCTGCGAGTAGAATATTTTGTGAAAGCAAAGCCAATACTTTCAAAAATGGGAGCCTAACTTTAGGATCATTTCTGCATAGTGAGGTGCATCAGTGTGGAATACTCGATTGGACCGAAGTGACGTCAGAAGAACTCGGGTTCCTAAGTCACTTCAGAAATCTCCCACCGGTTCCTAACTTTTTAAATTGCTGTCCACATACACTTGCCAAAGAAACTCAATGCAAATTATCTCTCAGCTGCAAGGGAGGAAATAAATATGAAACACCTAATGATTTCAGCACACTTGGGGCTGCAGTCTGGCCCAGTGTTAGCTCTTAAGATAAAGACAAACTCTCAAAGACAAACTTTTTCCATGTAGTGGCTGCCTGCTGTGGGCTCTAGAGCTTCTCCCACTTAAACGTTGCCTTTGCTGTAACCGTAGTTTTTTTCATGCCGTGTCACAGCAGCAGAGGCTTATAAGCCACTATAGCAGAGGCATTAGCTCTCACTTAGAAAGATCAAAATGTTTTCTTAGTCATCAGTCTGATGGCTAGAAAAGTATTGCCCAAAGGAGGGGATCCATTTTCGTATCATTTCCAGTGCCTTTTGCGGGGCAACTTGTGGGTTGTAATTTGTAGTATCCACTGGAAGGGGCAGACAGACATTTGTGTCAATAGGATAATAGGCTCATATATATAATTTAAACACCTCTGCAAATGGTTTGGCTGTTTCTTTGCTGCCTGTAGCCCTGTAAGGTATGTAACCCTCTGTGTTGTTGTCCAGCAGGGTGGAGAAGCGGAAGGTGACAGACCCTGTGGGTGCCCTAAAGGAGAAGTACCTGCGACCCTCCCCGCTGCTTTTTCACCCCCAGGTAAAGCAGTGACGTTATAACGCCGTGCTGTCTGAATGCCCAGAGGTTTGCGACGGAGCTGGTACGAACAGGTCACTTGGATCAGACCCTTCCTCATCCGAGGGCCCGACTGGAAACTCCACTGTTTTCCACCGGTTACTTTCAGATGCTTTTCATTTCATACCTGGTTTGAGGGTGACGGTAGTTACGCCTTGCCGTTTCTTTTGCATTAGCAGAAGAACGGGGGTGAGGTCTGGACAGCTCATATGGCCTGCCAACCCCCCCTTTCACACGCCAGAATGCCCACATAATTTTTCCATTGGGAACACCTGGTGCAGCCATTTGCAGTAGTGCAAAGTGGAGAAGGACTGCCTGGCACCCAAGCAGTAACATTTTATACCTGCCTGATGTTGCCTTACGTCATCTAGAAAGCGTGGAAGTGCAGGGCAACGGGGAGTCAGGGCTCGGTTCTGCCCGCTCCAAAAGGGGATGGGTCACTTGACGGAGAACTGGTCTTCTCTCCTTCCTGCCCAGCTGCTCTAGCCTCTGTTCTGCTGACAACTCACGATATCTGCTCCCTCTGCATCTCCTTCAGGTCTGAGCCACTGCAGAGCGATGGGAAATGCTGCTGGACAGCTTTCCCACTTGGCAGACCGGGAATGCCAGCCCGGCAGCCCACGGTGCAGCCGTACCAGGCCTTTACCCCAGAGTATTTGAAAGGCACAGCCCAGTCCGGTGCAACCACGACTCTTCACGAGAATCGACCCCAGTTTACAAACCCCCTTATCTTATAAGCGATAGCTAAACTCTCCAAGGAGCGATGTTGCTCCTTGCCCTTAGGATTCCTTGCTCCATAGTGATAATGCGCCGAGTTCTGCCGCACGCCGCCCGACATCCTCTCTGGTGTGACGGTCGCCAGCTATCCTCCGTCTCTCCCGCGGTGAACACATGCCGGGCGCTGAGCTCTGTGCTCGTTATTGTACTCTCCTTTATATTCACATGCATTGTTCTCCTCTGATAATGTTTCCCACCTTAGATAAATAACTTGCAGGTTTGTGAAAGCTGGATCCTGGTTGCTTTCACAGCTAAACTTAGTTCCCTCATTGTTTTGCATCAGCCTCAGAGTTTGGTTAATAACTTCCCCCGATTTTTCCTTCATACAGGCTGGATAATGGTGACAGGCTGGCCAGGAACATCCTGTGTTTGTGTGAGTTAGAATAGTGGGGATATCTGCCTGTAAAGAATCTGATAGCAGGGAGGAGCTAGTGTGGCACAGCAACCCAACAAGACGATGAGAAACGTACAGAGCCTGAGTAGGAGCAAGCATTGGGCGGAAGGTTATTAACATTGTTCCCGAAATCCTGACCACGTCCTCTTCCCATGGCAATGAAAAGATGTGGAAGGTCTGGTTATCTCTAATAGCTTATCACACAGAATAGCCTAAAATCTACAATCACTCGGGCCCGAAACTTCCTGATAACTAGTTTTTAATAAAGCGGGTTGCTGTGTAAAGATCACTTCATCTAGAGAGCTGCTGTTCCCATGCTGTGTAATCAATCGTATTTCAAATACGGTGAAGGAAGACAGGTCATTTGTTCAAGAACCTGTGAGATTCTTACTGCCAGATCCCCATCCGATATTATCCTGGATCTTTTCCTAAGCAGTCATACTTCCAGGGGCTCCTGCTTCCGTCGTCTTCGTTAGGACCAACATTCCTATACCGGGTCAATTAGACGCCCGCTCTCCGTGCGTTTCTCTCACGCTAACCCCGAGTCTGGTCTCTGCGAGCAATTCCCCAGCCCTCGTAGAGGGCCCGGGGTGGGACGTGATTAAGCCAAAAGACGTGATCAGGGCTGAGCTTTCGGAAGACGCTTTCTCTCTCAAAAGGAATTTCAGGCAACTTTTATTTCCTAGCCAGTCCTTGACAGTAGTTTCTCTGCTCTGATGGGAGTTATTCTTACATTGTCTGTTTTAAATGAAACTCTGGACAACATAAATAAACGGTGTAACTTTTTGATAACTTAATGGAAAACCTTTTCTCACCTGTTCAGTTTCTTTTCTTCTCCCCTTCTTTTTTATTATAACCAGGCAGTTGTTCCCTAAATAGCAAAGTGCCTTTACCACTGGAGAGGCTATGGCCGGTGTTTAGAATTTTAAAATAAGCCTGCGGCTATCAAGCCAGCAAACATCTCTGACTAAGTGCCTAAAGAACAGGGCACAACAAAAGATATCTCCAGGTACTCCAGCAAAGGGCTGAGTGGCATAGCTCTGAAAGATCCGGATAGCATTTTAACGTGATGGTTTTGTTACATGACTGGCAGCTGGGGCAGAGCTTTTGCTGTAAATGATCAAGTAACCTTTTCAAGTGGCTGGCGCTAAGTATTACTTACTATTTATCATGGGCTGGGAGCCTCCAACTAAGGGGCCGTGGATCTATTATCGGGAAATGGGTTTTACTACTCCTCTTTTTTACAGCTTATGAATGGTTGTCAGCCTTCCACAATGTATTCTTTGGTGATTAAGACAACTTTTTTTTAGTCATACATTTTAAACAATATCTTGGCTCTTTCCCCCCCCACCCCGCCCCGAGCCCAGTTTAATAAAGTGTAAACGTGCAAAAGGTCAGCCCTTCCTGTACAATAGAGCATCGAGTTTTGATATATGGCTTCCTACTGCCTTCCGCTCGCTCGCTGTCCCCCCGGCTCTCGGGCTGGCTCTCCATTCAGGCTCCCGCTCCCCCCGGTGCTCCCTTCTTGCCCGGTGATGTCATCTGCAGCGAGGAGGCAGCTTTATTGCTGCCTTGTTTGTTTTATCCGTGTTTGCTGCTTGGTATCTCGAAAGCGCTCTCAAGAGCGCATAAAACTGAATGTCGGAGATGTCGGCGTAGCCCTCCGAGTCGCATTTCTCTCTTGGATTTGGATTTCCTGGTTTGCTCTAATGAAAGTAAAAGTGGTTTTCGTTAGGTAGGATTTTTATGTGTATCCTTTTTTTTTTTCTTTTTTTTGCACACAGGCTGACTTTCTCCTTTCCTTTTCTGCTTTGCCCTTCTCCTGCATCTCCAGGTTTTTCCCTTTCTCCCCCTTTCTGGTGTGGTATTTAATCCAGTGTTTATGTGAGAACATGGCAATTGCCGAGTCGTACAAACTAAAGCTGACAAAGGCGCCCAGAAATGTTTTCTTCGGCGTCCCGTCTCTAGGCCTGGATGCCTGCCACTCCCATCCGAACAGGCTTTCAGTGTGTAGGTTGTGGTCCTCCTCACCGTAACTCATCCAGCCACAGCTCACATGGAGTGTTTTGGCTGGAATTCCCTTTCACTCCAGGAAGCTCAGCCATCTCCCACCCATCCTTCCATCACCTTTACTGGCTTTTGAACCTTTCATACATATAATTAAAAGGTTGGCCTCTTCGCTAGGCAAACTCTCTGTGGACCCACTCCATCCTGAGTCTGATCTTCACTCCTCCTCTTCCCCAGCTCTCCCTCTTCACCCCTCCAGCCTCAGCCTCTCCGCTGCCTCAGCTCCCTGATCAGCAGTCACGCGTTCCCCCGTGCTCCCTCCCGCTCCGCTTTGGCCAGCGTTCTTCTGCCTCCTGCCCCAAACGTCTCTGTCCTTTCCAGCCCGGGGTCGTCCGCCTGCCTGCCTGCCCGCAGCTCGCTGCTGCTGTCCCTCTGAGCCCCGGCGAGGGTAGTGGGTGCTGTAGGAGAAATCAAACCTCCTTGCTTTCCAAGACTTTGTTTTGAGTTTGAGGAGGGTTTGGGCGGTGAGTTCTACATCTGGCAGTTGACCACGGTGCCCAATTCCAGTGTCATCCCGGGAAAAAGGGAAGCCAAGTGTATTCTGAGACAATTTTTAGTCTGAAACGCTGAAGTAAGCACATGCATGTTGCAGAAGGTAAACAAGCACCTAATTTCTGAGAGCTAGTGCTTCCTGCATGGCTTTGCCAGTTGTATCTTTTCTGATTTCTCTGAGCCCGATACACCATTTTGCTCTTTCCTGGCCGGATTCAGTGGCTCCATTTCACACTGCGCAGCTGGCTGCTGAGAGTAAGAAGCAACAGGCTTTGACCAACATACCAGTGCTAAAAGACATGTTTTATGCATCAGATGCTGTTCTGCCTGTGGATTTTTATGACATGAGGTCTTGCCTTGTACTTGTAGATGTCAGCCATAGAAACAATGACAGAGAAACTGGAGAGTTTTGCAGCCCTGAAGGCAGACACCGGCACTTCCCTGCAGCCCCTTCCACATCACCCGTTCAACTTCCGATCTCCACCACCCACGCTATCCGATCCCATCCTGCGCAAGGGCAAGGAGCGTTACACCTGCAGGTAAGGGCCTGGGCACCCCGCGGAAGCGAGACCGTACCCCCAGCTTGTTGAGGCAGCCCTGGGAGAATGCCACCCGCCTGGGGAGCTGCATCAGACACCGGCGCGTGGCAGAGCAACTTCACACGGACATCTTGACTGTCTCGGCAGGGGTGGGAGGAAAAACAAGAAGCGGCAGAATTAGAACAGAGCATTCTGATGACTAATTCACTCTGAAATAGCTTGTTTTGTCTGGTAGAAAATCAGCATCTTCTATTTTCTTTGTAATTTTTAATAACCTTGAGAGCAGATCTGGAGATTCTCAAGCAAACGGAATACTCCAAGCCAAGTCTCTTGTGTGTGGTAGCGAATGCCGCAGTTTCCAATGCGGGTGCAATCTCAGCTATGCAAAATACTGGAATTTAAAAAATGGCATACAGCAAACAACTTTTTCAAACGCAATTGTATCCACAGAAATACTTAGGTATCCATTGGAGCTCTAAAAGCTCGTATCGGAGCGGATCACTGGGGCATAGAAACCTGTATCTCCTTCGCAGTCTTACCTGCAACTACTAGAGGTTCTTGTGGTGGCTCCCACTGCACTTTTCTCGAGTGCAGTAAGTGGGTACATATTTTGTTTGATGCATCTCTTCTGTTCAACTTTGCCACAAAAGCTACGGGCTCAAATTTCAGCTGGGTATTTAGAAATTTGAGGTGTCTACCTGCAATAGGGAGTAAACATATTTAGGTGTACGCTCACAAGCTAACATTTGGATTCTCATTGCTGATGAACACCCACGTTAACCACTCACCTTCAGGAGATCTGAAGGTGCTGAATGTCTCTGAAATTAAGAAAGTCTACTCATGTTCTACAACAGTAAGCATCAGGTTTCGTAGTCCCAGAATGTAACCCTTCATCCGCAGTATTTTATTTCCCAGTTAATATTTTTATTTATAACTCCCTTCCTTTTGAGTTTACTGTGAATCAGATTTATGGTGGAACACAGTTCCTTCTCTTATTGCATTTTCTACTGCTGCATTTCCTTATTCTAAGCAGACTGTCAGACTCACAGCAGCATATCCCGATAGCAGTAACACAATGCTGCAGCATTTACCCAGAAGAAAATTCTGTGAATTCTGAGAAGGATGATCAAGTAGATTCTGTATGATAAGCAACTAAACAGGGCTATAAAGGAGATCTGTGAAGATCTCACGCGATGGACAACACGAATAGGCGGTGATTAAACACTCTTTATCCCAGTGCAGGACCAAGGTAGCATCGAATGCGGTTCCCGAGTGACAGGTTCAACAAGCAGGAGGTTCTTTTGCACAACACGCAGTTCAGCAGAGGAACTCATTGCCGTAGGATGCTGCAGATGTCCAAAGCTTATGTGCATTGACAAAGCTTTTAGAAAAATAGATGGGAGAAACTCAGTGAAAGGGTCTCGAACACAACTATCCAACCTAGGCTCAGGAGGATCTTTGGGAGATACGTTGGGGCTGGGTCACTACATCCTTGCTGTGTTCCTATATACTTGCCAGGCCTCCGAGATAAGCTACAAAGCCAGCCAGCATTTGGGCCTGAACTGGGTGTTCTGAGAGGGTTTTTTTCTTTTTCCTGCCCTTCCCAATGAGGCAGCATCATCGACTGTCGTTCTGCGTGCCTGGTGGAAATGGGTTACACCAGTATCTCGCCACTGTGAATCCTGTTATTCTGGGGTGGGCGTCGCTCTGTTAGTTTTTACCTCCACGTCTGTCTCCCTCGGTACATAGGTGCTTAGAGCTACTAGTGCCTAAAGGGATTTTTCTGATTTGGGGAGCGGTATCAAAACGAGTGAGGTTGATGGTAGCTGGCGGTACGGTGTTTGTAAATGATCTGGTGTGGCAGGACGTTCATGCACTGATGGTTACTTTGGCTTTCACCGTCTAGGTACTGTGGTAAGATCTTCCCACGCTCAGCAAATCTGACAAGGCATCTGCGGACGCACACTGGAGAACAGCCCTACAGGTGATGTTGTCCCCCAGATAAAACCCCTTTCCCAACACACTCCTCCTTCACCACTGTGTTATTTTTTCTCCTTTCTATAAAGCTGTGCCAACATAATACCGCGGTCCTGTAGCATTACATGTAATGATTCATCGGATTGTATATTATGTGTACCAGCCAAAAATAATCAGGCTTGGCAGCTTGAAGATAGACACTTAACTTATATTTAGATGTATGCTGGCAAACGAGTGGTCTGATTTGCAGTGTTGTTTAACACTCACATTAACCATTCATCTCAAGGACAGCTGAAGGTGCTGAATGTCTCTGAAAATCGGGCTGTTTGGAAGGGCTTGCTAGTAAGGTATCTGCTCGGTCTAGCTAGGGTTTTTTTTTTTCAGTTCCTAACATATCAGAGGTGCTTGGAGCAGTGGATCAAAAAACAAAGGAAAAGAAAAGCCCTGTAGTGCAGCTGCTTTAAAATCTAAGTTAGGGAGTGTCCTCCTACCTTAAATCACAAAGTTTAAAAAGGGCAGTCAGAGAGGGGGAATTCAGACACTGTTCCACATGTTCAGTTGGGTCTTTAAGGCTGAACTACTGGTTGCTGCTGGTTGCGGACAAGGGGATCTGATAGACGGACCAAGGGGAAATTTGTTGCCCCGGTATTTTCTCCTAGTGCTTTGCAGTCAGTTTCAAAAAACCTTGGCCAAAAATATGCCGTGGTTGATTTCTTGTCAGAGTAGGTACATATATGAGCAAAACTGACTGAGTGATGACTTGAGAGCTCACCGAAAGTCGAGCGTTGTGTTCTCCGTAACGCGAGTAAGTGTTCTGCGCGTTGTCAAACGATAGTAACAATTCAAACAGTTTCATTTTTGATAGCTACTCTTACGGTATTTCCATACACAGTCATAAGCTCACAACAAAGCTAATGTAATAGTTCGTATATAAAGAGAAGCACAAACAAATATATGGGCAGCAAAAGGCCATGTGGTCAAACACATCAGCATTTTATGCTCAGTTTAATTTCAGAAGCTACTCTCTCCCACATTGTAATCCCTGGTACATACGGAGTCAAATTTTTTTTCCATACAGAGTCATACGGAATTTTGAGTGTAGACATTAGGTAAATGAAAAATAAAAAAAACCCTCTCCAAAGCAGACATATATTTTGGAACCATTCCCCGTTCTGATTTTTTCAGTTGCGTTATTTGATATGCCTTGAATGAATACTGTGTATTCACTGTACACCCCCGTCTGAGTGAAATGCTCGCTCCCGATTATTCAGAGGTTGTTAGTTCAGTTTTCTTCCAAAAAAGGAGACTTGCAACTTAACAAAGGTTAGGAAAATAAAGATTTATTTGATCTGGTCTTCTCCCAGAAAATGGCCTGTGTGTTTTTTTTGTAATAGAGGTTTGACTTCTGGACAATGTTGCATTATAATAGCACTCCTGAGAGTTAGTGCTACGTTTACAGAAGAGCTTAATTATCATTGATTTTCTTTTGCTCTCAGAGAACAGATTTCCAACTTTCGCAGCAATAATTGTTTTGAAAGCTTGTTTTTTAAGTGCCGACTTTCTGCAGGTAAAAGGAGGTTGCTGACTTTTCAGTATTTTACTGATGTCTGTCTTAACGGCTTTTCTTTTGATTGTTTAAATGGTTTTTCTTTTGACTCTGTCAGTGTTATATATGAATATATGAATTTAAATGTTCTTAAATATGAATTAAATTCAGTATGAATTTAAATGTTCTTGAAGCTAACAGAAACTCACCAAATGTCCAAGTGTAGATCAAGAAACAGGCAGGCCAGAAAATCAGGTGCTTTGGGTTTGATTCCTGATTGTCGTTGATAGGTGATGTGGTTTTTACCAAGTCACTTAAACTTCCTGGGTGTCTATTTAATTATGTATAAAGTAGGAAATAATAGCACATGAGCAAAAGGAGGCACATTAATTCTTTTTGTAAAGGGAAAGTGCTACGTGTTTTTGAAGAGTAGGAAATACCCGGTAATGCACTTTACTTGCTAAAAGTCAACTGATTTGAAAAGGCGCAAAGACGATATGCTGTACAGTGAAATTCGACGTGCTGCTTTTCATTCTTCCGCACCAGATCTAAAACTTGGTAGTATGTATTTCAAAAGCCAGTGGTAAAAAGGACTGTCAAACCTAACTGTTTCTTTCAGAGAAACACAAAATAAGTTGGGCTTGTGAAATCAGGTCAGACTTACCTGGAAACTCGGGTCGTGCAAAATCAGACTTTGTTGTCGCTCTGAGCTTACCAAGCAGAATCCAGCAGAGGCGGTTTTTGGTGAACCTCCTGATCTTGGAGCACATGAACATAAGGGTCTATTGGAGGTTTGCTTCTTAGTTTTGTTTTCATTCTCTGGAATCGCAGAGTCGCATAAACTACGTCAAATCTGGACTGGGAACAACTAAAAGCTGTTCGTTTCAGCAAGACTTTATTTTCTTCTTTCAAATGTCCGTTCCCTCCAGGATGCCATCTAATTGATTCTTGAATTACACCCAGTCCTGAAGCGTTGCCTGTAAGGCTGTGATTCCTCCTATAAAGATGAGCTTCCTGACGTCTGTTTTGAATTTGTTTTTCTTTAATTTCCTTCTAGGCCCCCGTGTCCTGTTATCTGCATTAAGCCGAAACTAACAACTAAAGCTGACGTCTGCCATGTCATTTAAGGTTGCACATAGTTCAATAAAAATCTTGTCTTTCTCGTTTTCTTTTTTTAAAATGTAGCCTAAATTCATCCCTGGTATAAGTGCGCTTGAGATGAAGGAGTTACTCAGAGGAAGAGTAGCTGTCGTGTGGTTTATGCTTTGTCACTGCAATTCTGCCTTTGCAGCTCTCGCTGATCATCGAATAAGCGTAAAATTTTGCAAGCGCTGTTGAAACTTCACAAAGCATGGTATCAAATGCCTTACTGTCAATCTGAAGTGTTATCAAACCGTCGTAGTCATACAGTGATGAGCTCAGTTACTCGTTCTTACGTTCCTGGGTTTTGCTGTCTGTTTTTCCCCTTCCAGTCGTACCATACCTGGCATCTGAGTTCCCTCAAGCTCTGAGGGTCGCCTGCCGTTCCTTGGAGTCCTGAGTTCCAGCTTTGGCTCGCTCTTAGCGATCATTCACTCCTGCTTCGTATTTTTTTAGCCCGTTGGTGTGTTACTTTAGACCGATAAGGAAGAAACTTTACTAGCATTTTGTCAGTGTGTTTACAAAGCGAATACCGCTTCTTTTGAGGTTTATTCTTCTCCCGCCTCTGCGTTCACTTCTTCCCTGAATTTAAGCTGGTTCCTCTGTCTGGGTCGTTTATTTAGATTAAAACCAGCAGAGATCCAAGTACCAACCCCTCCGGGACCACAAATAATACCGTACGTCTCCCTCATCCCTTTGCCTTCAGACATTAGCTATTGCTCCTTTCCAATGCCCCTCTGTTTTCTATTTTTTTAACAAGCTCTTTATCCTTTCTCCGTACCCTAACCTGGATCCACATAGCTCATAGTTAGAGCAGGGAACTGTCAAAGGAAACTTTTCAAAGACTTCCTGAACATCTAAATAAATCGACATACAGGAGGCCAGATCGTTCGTGCCTCACGCCTGCAAGCACTGCCTTTGAAGTCCCTGGAACCGCTCGTGTGAGTAACGTAGGCGAGAGCCGGGGTGGGTGCCCGGGGCGGCCGTAAGCGCGGCGGTGCTCGGGAGCCCTGATTCCCTGCTCGTGCCCGGCGCAAGGCAAACACGAACGGAGGAGAATTTGGCTTAGGAGGGCGTAGAGCTGGTGGGGACAGGCAGGGAGTGAAAACCACGGGCGTCAGCAGAGACGAGGAGGGGGCTGCTGGTACTATGCTGGTGGAACTCAGCGGGGCAAAACTGCTTATGAAAGTGCTGTGGAATGACAGGGACACTGTGGCGGTGGCTGTTTCGGACACTGCAGTTTTCTGACGTGCCGAGCAGGAGAAGCTGCCGCAGCCTGGCAGCTCCTGCAAGCAGATTCATTGGTTGCTAGCAGATAGGAGGAGAATACGAGCTAGAAATCTGTGCGTGTTTAACTCGCCGTATATGAACTGTGCTTGCTCTTGCTGCTGTTCAGATAACGTCTTGTTTGCTTTAGTTGTTCGTATTTTTTGAAAAAGTTAAAAATTTTTGAAGTCTGAGAAAACTGGGGTTTAAAAAGAGATTTTGCTTTCTTCCTAGGTTAGTCATAATAAAGGTTCATTATTTGAAATATCTTTATTCTTTTTGGTGATTTAACAGTAGGAAATTCGGAGGTGGACGTGGAATCTGTAAACATTCAGCGAGAGAGAGTGTTTCATAAATGTATCTCTGCTATTTCCAAGAATAATAGCAATTTATTTTTAGAGACCAAATAAAAATCACAGCTGTAGCACATCTGGAAATTGTGTGTGAGTTTCACAGCATAGATTTTTTACACTCGCACCTCCTTCCCGCATTTGAACCTGTCGTGTTTGCGGCAAATACCACGGCCTGAGTGTCAGGGTAAATCCAGTTTCATACTCGCAGGCACAGGGTACGTTCTGTGTGCCCTCTTCACATCATGAGCCGATGGCCCTCCTAAAACATGTGCAAATGCAGCATCTTGGTGCCTTATCAAATAGTAGCTCAGCTCAGTGGGACAAATTTTGCTCTCAGAGGAGCGCAGGGCAGTTCTGCTAAAGCAAGCGGTTTTGTTCTGGAATTAGGAGGGCTTAAGAACAGTTTTTATTTTGTCCCGTAAGTGTACAGGATTTGCAGAGGTCTGTAGCGGAGAGGGGATTCTACTTCTCATGGGTTTTGGAAGTAGAGCCATGAGGAAAGCAGCTTTGTTGCGGTACAAATGACGTATTTAAAAGGAGATCTAATGAGGGATTCAGGCGGATTCAAAGAGGAATTAGATTTTCTGTGGCTCTAGTACTGAAACTCCTCACTGCGGCTCAAAGCTGCCCTCTTCAGTACATCGGCTGCCTTCTTCCTCTGCGCTGCAAGAGGAGCCGGGGGCCGAGGTCACGAAGCACCACGGTTTAGCAGAGCCCTGGTTTTATTTGGAGGGAATCTGAATCCAGGGACTGTGTTTGAACAACTTTGAACGAGCTTCCAGCACATCTGTCTTGGGTCCTGCGGAGCTTTGTTTCAAAGAGGGGACATTTCTTCACTCAGCAGTTCCCCTAAACATTCTGGCTTGGCTCCTTACATTCCACATTTTTTCATCGTGAACCAGATATTCACTACATAGGAGTAAATCTTAGCCTGTTTGGAAACGACGATGTATTTCTTGGGAACTATTGTACCATAATAATCGTAATTACCTTTAAAGGCATGCTGGACTGCCTACATCTTGAGTACCACAAGGAGTTTCACAAATAAATCTGGAGTTTTCTGTGCATCCAGATAACTGTGTCATGTAGGGATATGCTAGCTAATAACTATTTTCTACATTTCACCTCCCTCCTTTCTTCTCCTTCTGTCTTTTTCCTCTCTCCACAGCCATATATCACCTACTTCCCCTACAAAATGAGAAGGGTGGAAGAAATAAATTCACCTTTCTTATTTTTACATTCATGTGTGGAAATGTAATTATTTTGTTTGAAATTCTTATTTGTTTGGACAACTCACTTCTTAATTAATCCTAATCCTTTCTTTGTGCTCCTTGAGTAACAATAATATCAGATTTGTCTGGAATGATTAATGCCTTGTGCTTCCCAGGTCCTCAGCTGAGTAAAGATTTATAGACCGACATTTTCTGGTTTTCTGATAGTCAGATTTTTCTTTCTCTTTTTTTCCCCTCACGTTGCACTCTTTGGCATTTGCTTCTATTTTTCAGGTGTAAATACTGTGACAGGTCATTCAGCATTTCCTCCAACCTCCAGCGGCACGTTCGAAACATCCATAACAAGGAGAAGCCATTCAAATGTCACCTGTGTAACCGATGCTTTGGGCAGCAGACCAACTTGGACCGACATCTTAAGAAACATGAACATGAGAATGTTCCAGGTAGGAACGGGCACGGCTGTGTGGTTCTGTTGGGGCACTGGAGGGAGAAGACACCGTGGTCTGGTCTCTCTGGTCCTTGGGAAGCCCTTATGGAAAGCACTGTTTCTTAAGGCTGAGTATCATTAGGTGGCAAAAAACAAACGCCAGCTCCTCACGCAGCCAAAGATGCGTTTATCTGCGGTGCATAATCGTAGCACACACACACTCACACGCAGTACTTGGTTCTGCCAAGCTCTTCTTGTCAGGTGTTACTTCCACGCGCCCTTTTCCAATGCATAAAACAGCAATCGTGGTACTAACTTCCTGGGGACTCTGTCCAGGGAGCATAGGCTCACATTGTGAGATCTCCTGGTACAACGCTGGTGTGGATGTGTCAAGCTCTGCCAAGGCTTTTCAACCTGAATTGCATTTATGGGTATGTGTGAAGTTCAAGAAGATAAATAGACTTGCCTTAAGATAAAAACCGAAGGAAGACATTCCTGTGCTGAAGCCAACTAAGTGATTTCCCAGCCTAGGAAGAAAAAAATCTATTGAAAAGTTACAGGCAAACAGCTATGCAGTGGGTAGTGGTTCCTGAATTGTCTGTACCATCCGTAAATGCTGAATATCACCTATATTTCTGTCTGTAGTTCAAGTCTGGAAGACATGAGCTTCCTTTGGCAGCTTTGGTCCGTGAGATTTCTCTCAAATGTTAAATCATGAATGTATAGCAAGAGGATTGTTGCGTAACGTTCCTCCTTTATTTTTCCTCTTGATAATCGCTTTGACAATATCTGATTGTTTCTCCTGTTCTCTTTTCTCGTTTCTCTCACTCAGTGAGCCAGCACTCTGGAGTCATTACAAACCACCTTGGGACCAGTGCCTCTTCCCCAAACTCGGAATCAGACAACCATGCACTTTTAGATGAAAAAGAGGATTCGTATTTCTCTGAAATCAGAAATTTTATTGCAAATAGCGAGATGAATCAAGCGTCGACTTTAGCAGATAAAAGGTAGACAAGCAAATACATTAATCTGGTGACATGTATTGTTAACACTGTTAAAAGACCAGTCAGCCTCCGCCCTGTAGTACTTGATTTAAAAGGCTCAAAAGAGAGAAATGTAGTAGTTTGGAAGGAAAGTGCATTCAGCCTCAAGCTCTAAGCCCAGTGTTAAGTCTTTTCAGAAAGTGACTTAAGTTAGGAGGGCTGACACCAGAGAGCCACTAACGGTGGGAGCCGCGGCTGGAACCGGGGGGCTCCACCGTGGGGGAGCAACCAGGGGAGCAAATTCCAAGAGAAGGCAGGCAGGCTGACTGCTGCCGCTGGCTCCAGCGCAATAGTTGCGAGAAAGCGCAATTTCTCCTCTAGATAAAAATGCGATTATTGAACCATTACCTTCTGCCATGAAACCACGTGGCCTGTTCCATCACCCATCAGAGAGCACTGGTTAAGGAAACCGGAGGCACCTGCTTCTCTAGTCTATTAGTTTATTTCAGACCTGTCCCTATCACAAGCCTTATTTTGACCGAGCGATATTTCACCTGCTGCTATCCTGTTTTCACAAATAGCTCTTTAATGCCAATACTAAGGTTTAAGTCCAAAATGTATGAGAAATCCGCATGACGATGTGATCCACATAAAGAACAGCAAGAAGTGTGGAACATGCGGACGTAAAATTTCTGAAGATGCTAGTCTGATTTTATGTCATTCGGTGGCATCCTGTTGGGTTCCAAGTCCATAGCACTGGTGATCCCACTCTTGTTCTCTTAACGTAATGTGAACCCGCTGTTTTTGTGGACTCTGCTAGGTCCACGCAGGCACGAATAGCAGAAGTCATACGAGAGAGAATTTAGGCTGGCTGTTAGATTACACCGTGAGGAAGCTTCCTCTTTCTGGCTGCTCGAAGGGAGATTGTTAGAATACAGTAGCACGGAGAAGGAGGAAAGCCGCTCGTCCCGCAGATGGTATATTTTAAGAGATGGAAAACCATGGTTTAAATCCAGACTAGACAAAATTCTAGTTTGAAAAGCATTGGGGTTGGTATATACTTGACATGCTTATTAGCCCTTAAGACACTGTGAAGGCTGATTTTTAAATGCCTGAAATATGTCTGTTTTCCTTTTCCTTGGAGTTTAAATAATACGTATATGTACATAAATATGCCTCTGTATTCATACATGTGTATAAAATTATCAGAGTCTTGCATTACAGTGAAAATGCATGACTTACTGACATCTTTTCTTTTTTTCTTTTCTTTCTTCTTCCCTGCCTTGACCAAATATTTCAGGCCGGAAATCCAGGATATTGATGGCAATTCCCAGTGTCATGGATTAGCAAATGAGAAAACAGAAGACGTGGATGATGAAGATGAAGAACTGGAAGAGGAAGATGATGACAGCCTGACAGGGAAGTCGCAGGATGAAACGGTATCACCCACCGCAGAGCCCCGAGGAGCATTTGAGGATGAAGAAGATGAAGAGCCCACATCTCTCACCATGAGCTTTGACCACACCCGAAGGTGAGGTGGGCCATTCCCTTTGAGAAGTCAAATGGGGCTCAAACTTCTGACCCTGTGTCAGTGGTAGATTGTGAGTGCTATTGTTTTACTTTTCAAGCCATGTATCATACCTCCAGTTTGATTTAAGCATTTGCTTGAGAGATTCCATTTTCACCGTGGTGGGGGACATGAAACAAGTGGACTGCGAGGAGAATCTGTGATAAGGCGTATGTCCAAGGCTCGAGAAGTTCATGTCAGGAGAACAGTTAGCCCAGCACAGAAACCAGGGTACCACAGTTCAGCGGATAATGTCTTTCTCTCTAAAACGCTGGTCAGGGCAAATGTATGCGATCTGTTTTGTGCTGCTCTACCCGTTTTAGTTGTAGCAAATTATTGACTTCAGGCGGAGTTCTCAGAGCTCTGGGAAAAAGCAAAGCTTTTTTCCCCCAAGGTCAAGCCATGTCTAGACACCTTTAAAATTGAAGTTTATTGCACACAGCATAGGCTTAGCTTTCTTTTTGCCTCAGTGTCCCAACTGGTATTCGTAACAGACGTCCCACGATGCAAAGTAGTATCTTACTTGATTTCAGTGCATCACTATTTTCATTGCAACTCAAAGAAAATGCAGCAGTATTCTTCAGACATTGATCCCAGGTCAAACATTTCAAGGAGCGGACAGCAATTGGACATCTCCGCACAGAAGACCAAAGTGAATTGTAGCCACGCTGAATCACAAATATCTAGAGCACTAACGCTTGTTTGCGCATAGTCATGCTCTCCACTTTTTCTTTGCTCCTTGTGCTTTGTGTCATCTTCGTGTTTGTCTGTCTGTCAGTTCACGCATGTGGCTTGTGAGACCCCCATGGTATGTGCATGCAGGCACTGGGTTAGCAACACTCACATTGGCTAGATGTGAACGGTGAGATGAGCTAACAACAGGTCAACCCCTTCCCCTGGTCATTGGTACAGGTGTATTGAGGAGGACGAAGCCGGCTTGTTAGATTTGGAGCAGATGCCGAATTTTGGGAAGGGGCTGGATCTTCGCAAAGCAGCCGAGGAAGCGTTTGAAGTTAAAGATGTGTTTAATTCCACCTTAGACTCTGAGACAATAAAACAGACTCTGTACAGGCAGGCTAAAAACCAGGTAGGTATATGACAGAACATTTTCTCTAGCTTGCCACCAGCACGTTCCATAGGATTAGCGAGCAGCTGGCCTCCTTTAGCTAAGGTTTCTTTTCCCCTTCCAGCGAGCAGGAATTCTAACTGTAACACGTGAATTGTATGGGAACTGTGTCTTGTTGCAAATGTAGAGGAATAGAGGAGAAACGGAGTGGGCATCAGTTTTAGGTCACCAGATCAATTTATTGTTTAGCCTGCGCTGTGAGAGCATGCTTATATAGAAAGATAGAGGCATCTGTCTGTTTTTATCTGTCTGTATAAATGTTTTTGTAACTATTATTTATCTGTACTTTGGGATGGGTCTCCAGTTGGTATGTACTAAGAAACTCGAGGTTTGGTCTGTAGAAACAGGAATAAAGTGTCCTTGGGTTTGATTATAAAAGGTGTAGTAGACAACAGTATTTCCAGGACTTGCAGTCCAGCAAGTCTAGAGGACTTCCTCATTTATCTCCCCGATTTCTGAAAGCAAACCATAAAATGGAATCTGCCCTGTGAGCTAGACCAATTCAGACCCACCAAGAAACCTCAAAACAGCATCTCGGCACCTGTTGGAGTTTTGAGAAAAATCTGGAGGTACGGAGCAGATCCATCTGTGCTTTCTGCTTTTTCATTAAACCAAAATATTCAATCTAGTTTTATGAAGTTCATATCACGATCCCTACAAAAGGATTCTCACAAAAGAACTGTTCAATGAAGTTGTGTCACCAGACTGGACTGGAGAGAGCGTGCTCAACCCTTCGTGGGGGATGAGGACAGCTCTTGCCTTGGAGTCCCTTTCTAACCTGCAAGCAACAGAATTTGTCCTGAAATCTATTTTAAATGTCCAGCCAAGCAGTACCTTAATGCGGTTGCCAAGCAGAACATGATTTTTGATTTATCATCACCCAAAACTTGTGAAATTATTGTCCTCCTTCATAGTAGGTGCTAGTACCAAAGCAGGGGAAGGTCTGCTTGAAGACAGGACATAGTTTTTTTCCAGGTGAAACTAATTTAAACACAAGCCACTTGCCTGACTCTTACACATGTCCTGTTACTAATACACTAAATGTACTAACTATGTAGGAACAGCTTGCTCTTTTTAAATTTGTACTACATGTTAGGCCTAGCCTGTGCTCGGATGGGGGGTATTTTTTGGTTTTGAACCAATTCTATAGCGTATGAGATGCAGGACTGGTTACACTTAAGTCACAATAAGTAACTGAAATAATTCGAACCATCTCTTGTGCAGGAAATGTAAGGGTAAAACAACATTTGTGTGAGCAGCACAGCACTCTGTTGTGGCTGTCTTTCTTTTAAGCAATTTTAGAAGCGTGCATGTCCGTAACACTACCAAGCCGTACCTCTTCCAGCACCACCTACAATACATGAGTGTGTTGACTTGACAAGTAGATCTGACTCTCAGCTTTTAAGAGGAGAGGCTAAAGTGGGATAACTGGTTACTATCGTCACCGTTGCAGTTGCATTACTAAGGGTCCTACCGTAGTGAGCGTTGTACTGATGGCCCCAGATAACATATGGTCTGTGTCCATTGCCCTGCAAAGGGTTGCGTGTGGGTGGGTGCAGCCTCAGTGTGAAGGAGAGGGCTACACGGCCACAATTTCATTGCAGAGTAGGAGCATACATTTCACCAGCTAACGTAGACCAGGGAGGGTGGGGACCATGTCCTCCTCTGTTTCAGATCATGGGTGACAATTACACTGGCTTTCACCCCCAGTATGCGAGGTTATCATCTACCTAGGTCTTCACATCACTTGTGTGGGCTGTGAAAGGACACAGAGGTGTATGAGACAAGTAGTGTTGGAAGAGGGAGAGCATCTGGGTTACCGAGAAGCAAGCAAGCAGCTTGTTACAGAGAAAACACAAGTCTCGATGCATTTTTCTCAGCAGACGCTTTTAACCATTTCGCTGCAGCAATAAATCTGCCCCGACAAGAACAAATGAACATGCTGGTAATGCCAGTGAGCATTTTGTGCCTGTGTTCCTCAATACGCAGGTTTCGACAGGTACCAGCGAGCTCATGCCAGGCAGTGAGTCGGGATGCTTGGCCTGCTGCCCGCAGCTGCCCGTCGCGTTACAGCCAGCGTGGATCTTGCTACGCCGTTTCTGTGGCGTGTGACCGGGCCCTAGCCTCACTTAGCCACTTCCTTGTCTGTAGGTGTACTTGTTTTGAGCAAAGCAAAATAAGTGGCATCCTGCATGTAGCTGCTTTCCCCTGAGAGCAGAGCCTAGAATCAAGTGTGTGGGTTTGTGACCAAGTGCGGAGCTGGCCCGGGATGGATTTGGCCCTATAAAAGCCGATGGGAACGACGGCCTCTCCTGAGTAACCCTATGACTGCCTAGAAACTCTGTGGCAAATTTGAGTAGCTGGAGTGATGGGTGTCATCCTAGCGTGAGGATGTAAATTTAGACCTGCTGGCAAGGTTCATAGCCCAGGCCAAAGGATGCTGGCCGTCCTGCGTTTCCCGCATGGTTAGATGGTGCTGCGCTTCACACGGGGTATTACGGCCTGTCCTCTGTGTGTATTCACGCGTGTCCTCTGCATTACTCTTTCTCCTCCAGGCTTATGCAATGATGCTGTCCCTGTCTGAGAACGCTCCCCTCCACACGTCCTCCCAGAACTCTCTGGGTGCTTGGTTGGACATGGCAGGAGCAGCTTCAGAGTCGGGGACCTTTAACCCCATCAACCACCTCTGAGAGGTCAACAAGGCACTGGCCAGAGTCCAAGCGAGGAGGCGGTGGTGCTGCAATTACCCTAGCAAAAATCCTAGCAAGCAGAAGATGGATGAGAGGGCCTCAGGGAGCCGTCTGGACTTTTGGCCGAGAAGGAAACCTGTCGCATCCGACCTACAAGTCCTGCATTTTTAGCTATCCAGAGTTTTCATTTCTAATTTATCAGAATGAACCTCTCCAAAACTGGATAACCCTGACGCAGCCCTAGGATTTCACAGTCTGTAGGAATAGCATGAGCAAGACACCAATTGCAACAGTGCAATCAAATATTGGCCCCTCTAACCTTACGAAACGGTATCACTGAGCCAGTAAAGCCTGCGTGTAAATGAAAGCTTGAAACCATTCGGTAGCATATCCTTTCCATTAAGCTGAATAGTGAAGTAATAAGGAAAGCGAGCCAGGTGTGACCTATCCCTGGTGCAATTCTGACGTAGTCACTGGAGTTATACCAGGGAAGGGTAAATTCCACCCGTTTAATTGACCCCCAAAAGAATTTGAAATTCTGTGCTCCCACAGAAATACCGTCCTAGCCTTTGTTCCCATCCACGCGTATTGGCACGGTGCAAAGCTTCTCGAGTGTGAGGCCACGGTGCCTGCAGTCCTGATACGCTGTGTGTGGTGTCCCGGTTGAGGAATCTTCAGCCCGGAGCATTGCTGAAGTTGGGGTTATTGATGTATCACGCAAATACGTGACTCACGGTCTTCGGCTGTGCCCTGGAAGCTCTTATGTCCGTGCCTACGCCGCAGGGTCCAGAGCGCTTTCCGTCTCTGCTAGTGCCTGTGAGCCCAAGCTGCTGCTTGGATGTGAAGCATCTCCAGAGTGTTTCAGAAAAAGCCGTGCTCGGCGAGTCTGCTGGCGAGGCGGCACTCTGCCCTGCGCTGGCCGGAGCGCCCCGCGACCGAGCCGCTGAAAATGCTTGGACTTGCCCACTCAGAGAGGTCCCGGGGTAAAGCCTTACCTGGAGAGGTGTAGCCATGCGTGAGAAAGCGTGCGTGGTGGGCGAGTCTCACCTTAGGAAGCGCAATTCGAACACATCTTCTGCTTTATCTCCCAGGGGTTTTTTTAGAGTGACGTCCTTTCAGTGTCAGTAGTATCCGGGCATTGCGGCAGAAATTTCTGGCTCGTGCAGTTGTTTTGGTATGCTGGATGGTTGCTTATGCATCGCACACTGCTATTTGGCCTATAATTTAAGTAGAAAGGTTAAAATTTCCTTGCTTCGGCAACCTCAGGGGTACAGCCCTCCACTCAAGCACATAGCTAAGAATTGAATTGTCTCTCAGATTCTCAAATTGCCCGCAGATATTTTGAGTGATTTTGAATCGCCTCAAAGTCTCATCTTCTTTACTGACACAAAGCAGCCTCCAGAAATACCGTGATGTTTGTGCTATTCTGCATCACCATTGCAATCTGCTGTTGGAGCAGTGATTTTGCAGGTAAAGCTGAATTACAGAATAGACAGGAAAGCAATTAGACCTTGCAAAGGATAACGTTGGCTGCACAGGTAAAGGCTAGAATGTGTCCTGAGAATTTTCAAATTACAGCATCTAAAAAGTAGAAATGCTGAGGACTGGACTGCTGCTGCCGCTGGGTGAAAAGACGTGCCCCTGCATCTCGCCCATTGCCGTTCTGCAGCAGCAACCTGCTAGGCGTCCGGAGGTGCTCTGGCAGCCTGGCTGTGTAAAGTTTGCGTTCAAAGCCAGTGAAGTCGAGAGGAACTTTTCCCATTACTTCCAGCGTATTTTAGTGCTGGCTGTGCTTCTAGTATTTTATCAGGTAATAACTGCTTGCAGAACTGGGCTAATGGCCGATTTCAGAGAAGCAGCACGCAGTCGTCAGCACACCTGCCCGTAAATACTTGACGTGCGTAGCCTCTCTGCCTGCTTGCTATGGAAAAGAGCGGGCGGAGGCTTCTGTGCCAGTCCGGTGTGGAGAAGCACCCCGGGGAAGCCTCATTCCAGCATGCCAAAACAAAGGAAGCGGCTACGCAAGGAAAGCGGAGGTTGTGTAGGACCGATACCCTTGCAATTCACTCTTTGCAGCCAAGAGCACACGCGCGGCTGGTTTTAGATAGCCAGGAGCCTCAGACTGTCTGTGGGGGAAAGCATCTAGGGTAGCTTTGGTACAGAAGGAACAAAAGTAAATGAGCAGCATCAGCCTATTGTCCAAGAAAATTTACCCTTCCTTTTTGGTTTTCCACAACACCCTGTGAAAGTGCCCAAGGCTCTGCGACCAACAGTCAGTGTCACCCGAACTGCTTCATCTATTTGCACAAAGCTCTCGGGCGAGCGGAGCCCGAGCGCTGACAATGTCAAAAGAACCCAGTCTCTGCGAAGGAGACGGGACGTTCCCGTCCCGGCACATCTGCCTCTGCTGCTGCTGCAGTACAGCCCTGCCCAGGCGCTTGGCCTTTAAATTATTCCCACAGGGGCCAACTGAAAATAATAAAAGAATTGTTTCTTTTCCTGACGGAATTTATTTTAATCTGTATATAACTTGTAATTTTTTGCTAATTCTTTTCTTATTTTATTTCTTCCTTAACAGTATTTTTTGCATTAGATATCATTATTGTGAAGAAATAATGTTAATATAAGTATGTAGTGAAGGACCAAACTTGTGTAATTAAGGTTGTATGTTGTATGAGCGATAACCAGGGAGTAGGAAGATGTCGTCCATGTGCCAAACGACCCTGACCAACCCTGCCAGTCTTGCTGCCGATTCTCCAGACAATCATATGTTTTGTTACATTTGCCTTTAAGCGACCGTTGCATGAGACGAAGGTTTCTATTTATTTCCTTGGCCGCTTGGAAAGCAAACGCAGCCTCCGCCGGCACGCGAGC